TGCTGGTCAAAAATGGGAAAATAAATTTCAAATAATGTTTATCATTATGTAAGTTATTTTTTAAGGTAAGGAATTGTGAAATGCCCTATGTGAAGGCACATCAGGCATTTCACAATTTCTTACCTTAAAAAATAACTTACATAATGTTAAATATAATTCATAATTTAATTTACCATTTTTGGTTAATAGAAATTGTAAACAACATTTAAAAATTTCTTTAGACAAAAACTATAAATTAATTTTGGCATATCTTTATTTGTGAAATCTTGAAATAAATGAGAATAATTATTTAAAACATAATTTGAAGTTTCTTTTAAAACAAAATTATAAATTTTCTTTCAAATTTTAAGACAAAAAACATTTAGAATTTCATTTATAATATTAAATCTTATAAAATATTAAAAGAAATTAAAAATTTTACCTAGAGAAGAAATACTAAAAAAAATTTAAAATTATTTCAAAGTAGACAGTTAGTAAACAATTAGTAGGCAATTAATAGGTAATTAATAGGTAAGTAATAGGCAAGTAATAAGTAAGTAATAGACAATCAGTAGGTAATCAACAGGCAATCAACAGGTGACTACTAAATGAAGACATTTTTGCTTCATTTAGTAGTTGCCTGTTGATTGCCTGTTGATTGCCTACTAATTACTTATTGCTTGCCTATTGCTTGCCTATTGCTTGCCTATTACTTACCTATTACTTACCTATTGCTTGCCTATTGCTTGCCCATTACTTGCCTATTACTTACTCATTAATTGCCCACTGATTGCCTACTCTAATAATTTTAAATTCTTTATAGCATTTCTCTCTCAAGTAAAATTTTAAATTTATTTTAAAATTTCATTCAATTTAATATTATAAAAGAAATTTCAAATTTTTCTTGTTACTAAACCTGAAAGAAAATTTATAATTTTGCTATAGGAAAAACTTTAAATTATGTTTTAAATTATTATCTCCATTTATTTAAAGATTTTACAAATAGGGAAATGTTAAAATTAATTTCTAGTTTTTGTATAATGAAAATTTTAAATTCTGTTCAGAGTTTCTGCCAACCAAAAATGGTAAACTAAATTACAAATAATGTTTATCATTATGTAAGTTATTTCTTAAGGTAAGAAATTGTGAAATGCCCCATGTGAAGGACCTGTTTTTCTGATAAATGATATATGTAGTGTATAGTGCTTGAAAACAGTAATTATGGCAGTACTTATAGTTATAGACGAAAGTGCGAGCTGTACATTTACTCTTAAAGTTGAAGATTCATGAAATGCAGAAATGTGATAAGCGAAGCCAGCAAGAACGCCAAAAAGATGCCTGCATTAAAGACCTGACATATTTAAACGAGAAATCTTACCCCGAAGCCCGAAGAACTAAATGAAGAAATAATAAATCAGACACACGCTGTACAGTATATTATATAGTGATATAATTGATTAAATTCGTTTAGTACAACACACGAGCTACGCTGCGTAACTATTTCCACTCATTGTAAATGTATTGTATGTGGACTTTTCAAGTCCAATGCGGGGTTGACCTGTCTTCGCACTGAACTCGTCCGGATGACCAAGTGGGGAAACCATGCTGTCCACTAATCCATTGCCCAACTCTTCGTTACTATCGACGACGGCAACATTCTCGTTAGGATGGGACTCATCACATTCCATTTCGTCGCTCGTGTCAGCAGACGAAACCGCATCTACAGACGCTGCCACGTCCTCACCCATGGTATATTCTATCAAGTCCGAATTGGTATCCTCGTAATGTCCAACAAACTGGCTCGACTCTCTCGCCCATTCTGATACAGATGGTACGTGGCAACGTGACTGAAAGTTCGGATTGTGATCGAAAATATAGCGGTATACTTCGGCCAATGGGTACCCGTCTTTGGGAGGCAAATCGCCTCCATTGAGTCTGTCTTCCAAAAATTTTATCTCTTGCTGCCTTGAAGTTCCAACGTCAACCTCTCCATCGTCTTGATCCGCTTCATCTAGCTCCATTTCGCCTGCGTCGGTTTCGTCTCCACGATCTTGGTTGCTGTTGTTCGTGTGGCGGCCACCTTTGTTGTTCTCTTTGCCACCTTTTCGCCAGGGCTTAGCCGCCGAGTTGCGTAGCTTTGTCCGTTGCTGATCTCGAATTTCGTCCCAACGCTTCATCTCATTTGCGAACCGCAAGGACTGAAAATCTGAGATTGCACAAAGCACAAAGTAGCACTCGATGAAGCGGCGAAAGTTTGTAAGGATAAATGGACCCAAGATCCGCCGTACAACCTACGTAAAATGAGCACGCATTAAATGAAGAGAAGGGGATACGCACCACTGTGTCATTCTCCCAGTTTGACACATAAAACCGAAGAATATTCTTGTTGAAAGTAGCACCAAATACTGGTCCGTCCTCGAGACCGAGAGCCCGCCTATGCAGCTGGCTTGAAAACATGGTAAGTTGGACTTGACGTAACACAACTTTGAAGTCGTCCACTTTAGCCTCGTAGCTAAATGTGACAGTCGACTCTGGCAGATCGATCAATTCTACAGTCCATGCCCATGAGAACACGTATCGATTGTTTAATTCTCCCAAGAAATCGGTCCAATCTTCTGGTAGGTTTAATGCTGCGACTGCATCAGCTCGAACACAGTCTGGTGTACCAGGCAGGACCATATCTACTTCAGCCCTAGGTAATAGTGTAAATGTACGGTAGTGCAAGCTAATAATGCAATACTATAAGTACCTCCATATGTGGTCGGCCCCACGACGAAGTTGAAACGCAAGCTCAATCATAGTATCCGTGCCTCTGCGGTTTGATACTTCGTTTACCACTGGATTGGCTTGGAATGACGTAGACATCCAAGCATTGACAAGAATTGGCAGCAAGGCTGCAAATCGATATTTGTCGCCGGGTTCAGTCCTGTCGCGACCCAGTTGATCGCGCCACCTACTAAACTGGTGTTGAGCCTCTGCACCTTTTGGAAAGTGAGATACCAAGTCGTCAATTATAGACATTACCTATCAGCCTTGTTAGTCATTGCAACTGGACCGGCAGATAGTGATGCCTTACTTCTTCTCCAAGAATCCAATCTGGGTATTTGAGTGAGTCCAAAAAATTTTTGAATTCGTCGTTCTCCCAGTCTTCATCATCATAGCGAACCTTATGGAGAGTGGCCCAATCCTCCCATTTTTTTGGCGTACGACAAAGCCTTAGGATACGGATAAGAGTGTTGAAGTCGCAGAAAACGGGATACTTACACGGAAGCGGAAAGAGAAGAAACACAACTCGATGCTCTGGAGACAATTGTGCATAAGCAGCTTGACGGGTAGAAAGTATATCAATCTTACCTGGTCTTCACGGAAGCTTTACTAGGTGGTTTCCGTGCGTGCTGATTGTCACGAGTGGAACGTGGTGGTTCACTACCAGAACGATCGGTCGTATTGAGTTCCTTTCTGCAGAGATGTTTCAGTGGGAGGGTGAAGACGCAGTGCAGTCGGTGCGAGGGACATACCCTTCAATTAAGCTTGATATTGCAATGATATATTAGTAGGCATATTGACAGTGAGACGGAGGAAAGGGACGTACGACTCGAGGTTTGGTGCGTGAGAAGCTCTATTGGATCGTGTAGACGGTGGCATGGTAAAAGTATGAGAGAAAAACTCACCGCTCAGCCGCAGCAGTATTCATAGTGTCTGATAGTGGCCTGTGTTGGTGGCTCGAAGACTTATATAGACACAACACGCGAATCTGCCTCTTCGGCACATACCGATAGTGTCACGTGATCGCCTCGATCTGTCATGATTTATACACCTCTGCTTTACTGTAAGTTACTAAGGCCCTGCTCGGTTGCACTGGTCGTGCGACCAGTGCCTGCCAAATTCTCAACCACTGGTTGTGTGACTGGTGGTTGCAAACCATCAACCATCAGACGTGTTTGGGAGCACGTCTGGTTTGGTGATAGTGTGACATTGCTTGGCTCTTACTACTCCTACCCTGTACACTATGCTCTCCAGCTTTCCTTGTCACTACTCCTCTTTCTTTCTTTCTTTTTTCTTTGTAGTATACTGCTCTACCTGTATTCTGCTTTACTTTTGCCAATCCAAGCTTTGGATTCTAACCAGTAATCTTGAAATCTGTCAAATCTGCCTGTATATATGCTCCCTACAAGAAATTCACATACTAATAAGGAGAACAAACCAATTACTCACCCTACTGTTTGTCAGAAGGCAAAATGGACTCTTATAGACAATACAAAGCTGGTTGAATGTTTTGAATACTAGAAGAGTATAAGCAACTAGTCTGATAGTGGTTTCAAATCAATTACTTAAATATATACTACTTTTAAGCTTAACAAAGTTGTTGTTAAGAGTAGGGAGAAGACAGTTAGTAGTGTTAAGGATTATTGTGGAATAGTACTGGTGGAGTACTGAATACTGAGCTCTGAGACTGTAGGACACACAAAGACTGACAGGACAAAGGTATCTTTGTTACAGTTAGTAAACAAGAACTGAGAATATATAATAAGACACACTTTTGTTATAGTTAGTAAACAAGAACTGGTGTAACAAAGGTATAGACATGAGTTATATATACTAGAGAAGAAAGGAAGGTGGTTCAGACTAAAGAAAAGTGTAATACAAGTAAAAAAGGAAACTATATGTATAGTCTAGAATTAGAACTAAGAATAAGTAGCTTAAAGCTTAGGACTAGAAACTGTATATATAGTTTAAGACTGTATGAGAGAGTTCTAGGACAGAACTTTTGGAACCCTCAGAACTGTAGTAAGCTGTACAGTAGGCTTACACCCTTCCCTCCTCTAAACTACTACTACTACTTGTATAAGTGAAAGTTTAACTATATATATAAAATGTCTAGAGTAGAGTTCTAAAGTTTAGACTCAGATTTTCACTCTCTTCCCTGTTTACCCTATCCTTCTTATTTGATAAGGTATTTGGAACAGTACTGGTAGAGTACTAAACACTAAGCTTAAAGATTACTAGACACACAAAGACTGACAGGACAAAGGTGTAAACATAAGCTTTATATACTAGAGAAGAAAGGAAAGTAGCTTAGACTAAAGAAACATATAATACAAGTGAAAAAGGAGACTATATGTATAGCTCAGGATTAGGAACTATATGTATAGTCTAAGACTGTATGAGAGAGTTCTGGAACAGAACCCTTAGAACCCTTAGAAGTGTAGTAAGCTGTATAGTAGGCTTACACCCTTCCCCTCTCTAAACTACTATTACTGTCTGTGTAAGTAAAGGTCTAACTATATATATAAAATGTTTAGAGTAGAGTTCTAAAGCTTAGACTCAGATTTCTATTCTCTTCCCTGTTCACCCTATCCTTCCTATTTAATAACATATTACTAACCTCTACCTTAGTAGTACTAGTTAATAATGTAAGAGACTTTATAGATTTTGTCTGTATTATTAACAGATTTAAAGTATATAAGAGCTTAGTTTAAGAACAGAAAGTTATTATTTAGAATGTAACACTTGAGTTAGCTTGAATAGAATTCTAGAAAGGTCTGATTTGAATCCAGAAGTTCTAAAGTATACTTAGATTTGTCTAGATTTACTATAATAATAAAGTACAGTCTATTATACTTAATGTTACAGTTCTCTACTCTCACACCTTTAGTTCTGAGGGTTCTGTACCCTTCTGTACCAGAACTCAGAACTTCTGTCCCTTAGAGGCACTGTTTATAAACTATATACATACTAACTCTTACTACTACCCCTCCTTACTTCATCATTCCTTTCCTTTGACCACCCTTTCATTCTTTGTTCATTCTATAGTCTCTTACCCTTTGTCTATCCCTTCATTCTTTGTACCTTTATCTTTGACCTTCCTATCTTTTATTCTTTGTAGCTTATCATTCTTAGTAGCTTATACTCCCTGAGTACTCTTGTGTAGTTTAGTATATATAAGTATACAAGATCAGACTAGTTCTAGAGTCTTAATCTTGTCTACTCTAGATAGTCCTGTACTCTTAAGCTTACTCTATATACTCTACTCTTGTCTCACTCTCTCTCTCTATCTGTTCTACAAGTTCTGACTACATTCTAGTACTTGTATTCTGTATTTCTATTATGTAGAATAGTTGTAGCCTAAGTCCTCTTACTAAGCCTTTGAGTCCCCTTTATACTGTTACTAACATTAGATTAAGACTACCTATTACTACCCTACAACTCTCCTACATTTCAGGTATTAGTACTCACTATTGTGTCAATCTCTTTTTGTTGTCTCAACCCTTTTACATTTTTAAACTTTAAACTTTCTAAACCCTTTTAAACTTTTGCCACCCTTCTTCTATTTATTACTCCTTTTAGTTTAGTACTGATTCCTTTGTAGTGTAAACATAGACCCTCTTATACTAACTACTACCCTTACTGTCCTACTAGATTAGTAGTTACAAGCAGACCTAACTTAATACATACAGATCTCTATCTAAGAGGCTTTTACTAACTATGTGCCTCTAGCCCTCTCAGAACCTATTCTAATTGTTTCAGAAGTTGCAACCTATTCTAGAAAGAAAGTGTATGTAGCCTACCCTTCAGATTTTAATAGGTAGTACTTTAAGGACTTTCAGTACTAAGTTGAACTATACATAGCTACTACTTTGACTAATCTATTCTCAGATCTTAATTGTATTCTATTTGTCCTCTCCTTTATAAAGGAAGGCAATGTGGCCACATAGGCCTAGAACTGGATTAAAGACTATTAGATTGGAAGTCTGATCCAACTTTAGAATAATGAGTTGTATTCAGAATTTATAAAGTAGCTCTATACTTCCTTTATTAATCTGAATAAGAAGTATAATATATAGAACAAGCTTGTGTCTCTATAACAGGGCAAACATTCTACTAATACCTTCTTTCAGGAGTTCAATATCCTGGCCTGGAAGGTAGGATTCACACTCAGGTTTAATAATGTCCTTATTAGAATACTTGAAAAAGCTCTTCACCTAGAACTAGTTAATAAGATTCTTAGAATAATACTAGAACTGATTACTTACACTGAGTAGAAGATACACACCATTTCCTTTGACTAAGCTGTAGCTTGGATGTGTCAAGTCTGTATAGAACACTCACACATACATTCAGCTCTGACAGTTCTGAGCCCTCAGATCAATCCACTTATAATTTACAATTAATCTGTTCTAATAAACATTAGAGAAGTCTGAAAGTAAGGAGTATACTTTGTTTACAGAAAGTCAGGGCACCAAATTAAGGACTGCCTGTAGAAGTAACAGTATATCTGTCAGGTCATTAGAGTAATAATGAGTAACAAGTAGGATTTGTAGTAAGAAGCCTTTTCTACAAATCTAAAAGTTACCTCAGAACTCTCAGACTCTAACTATATACTCTAGAATTTTGTAGAGACTCAACAGTGAAACTACTAAGTAGTAAACAGGGCTAGATAGTGTTCTGAATGTTCTAAGATCTTAGTACACAGAAGTAGTAGGTCAGATTGTACAGATTTAGACTTGGATAAAGTGTAAAGAGAAGAATCAAAAGAATCAGAAGAAATAAGAGAACTATCTACTTTTGTTTTTGACTTTTTTCTTTTTAATAAATAATTTTGTTAATTTACTTTTTCTACTTTTTCTACTTTTTCTACTTTTCTTACTTTATTTACTTCTAATCCTACAGTGTCTATTGAATCAAAAGTGACTGTTAAAAAATCTGAGTCATAGCCCTTCAGTACTACATTGTCTATAGTATTAAGTAGGGATAGTCTTAGCTGAGTTTACAGCTAAGGACATAGGTCTGTCCTTGTTGAAAGAGAGAGGTTAATAAGGAAATGTTAGTACATATACTTACTCTCTTAAATAACAAGGTTACACAAGCTGTACATTCTCTTTAGAACAAATAATAATTTATTAGAGAATACTCTAGACATTAGCTCTAAGTCCTTGTCCTCTTAGCTCCCTTCTTAGGATCCTCTCAGATCTGAATAATGGCTCTAGTAGACAGTAGATACACTAGTTTGTACATTAATAAGACTTTTGTATAGGAACACTATCTCCCTACTTAATATGTTCCACTTCTAATCCTAGTATATAATATAGACAGAACCCTAAACTAGAATAGTTGAATTACTAAGTTTGTCCAACTACAGATGACTATTTGGGATTATAAGGAAAGTATTGAGTTCAGAGTTACTAATCTTAGAAAGACAAACATCTTTATTGAATTTGAATAGCTTAAGGCTTACAACCCTACTATTAACTAGTTAGAGTAAACACTCACATTCAATTAGTGTTCTAAGTCTTACAACTATCTTACACTACTGTCCTGAGTGAATGTAGACACTTCTAATATTACTAACAGTTCTAATAAAGGCAACTAGTTGTTCTTCTTTAACTAGGATAAATATGTGAACACATATTCTAATTAAAGCAGAACAGAGTTAATCTAAAGAATGTCTGAGACAGAACTAGTTTAGAACCCTCTCAGAATGACTCTACTCTAGAATGTATGTAGACTCAGCCTGCTGGATTTTGTCTGAGAGTTTCTCAAAGTCTTTAGTAAAGAGGAATTCAACCAGCTTCCTGAATACTACCTCTAGAACTATACAATCAAATTGACTAAGAGTTTCCAACCTAAGGATTGTAAGGTCTACCTACTTAACAGAGACAAGTAGAAGGTACTTGACAAGTTCCTTCAGGAAAA